TTCAATATTTATTTGTAAGTTCTATAGGTTTCTTCAGAGGTGTCGTACTTAATTCCACTTATCTTCTTTAAAATTTCAACGAATAGCGATGAAAGCCGAGACTACAAAGCTTTTGCCATCACTTATCAACTTACTCATGTATAAATGAGCTTGATATTAAAGTAGAATTAGCCTTTTTATTCTCAACAGTTGGACTCTGTCACGAAATTTGAGGTGAATGAATTGTATCTAGTTTTGCTTAAAATATTTTCAAAATGAGAAGATATATCTTCAATGTCTCCCCTAGGTTCAAGCACACCGGGCACCTACGTAGCTCCCTCATTACCAACACCTTCAGCACAGCATAAGCTGCAACAACAGCGGCGTTATCGTCGGCACAGAAGTGGAATACGAGGCTGTAAGAGTAGTCAACAGCAACGGCGCCAGTACCACCACCGACTTCAACCTTCGCTAGAAACCGAGCTGAGTTTAGAGGCATGGCAAGCGAGTCAGAATCTCATTGCTTCACTGCGAAGCGAAAATCATCTACTTCAGAACCAGTTGAAGGAGTGCCGAGTAGAGTTGCGCACTGTTCAACGTCAATGCAAGGTCCAGAGTGCTAGACTCTCAAAGGTTGGTTTTGATATGGCGAAAAATTTAGATATAGGAGAGATGTGCAGAGGTGTTATCCCACTATGGGGATGGAGTCTGCTTCAATTCTACTCTTGATAGGCAGTAGGACGAGAGGCGGAAATGCCGGCACTTGTTGATCGATTGAATGCGGAAGTTCGTGCAATGCAGATCCAACTAAGACGCAAGCAGGAAGCCATTGACGTGGCGGAAAGGCGTGCGCTTGAAGCAGAGGCACGACTACTGCCACTGCTAGGGAAACGTAATCACAAGTCAGCTACCGTCTCGAGTCCTCCTTCTGCAAATGAACAAGAGGAGATGAAGAGACGGACTCAAGCGCTAGATGCTATGCAAACAACTCTTGAAGAAGAACGACGCAAATTTCGGGCAAGTATAGAGTTCTTAGCAGTGTTTTGTTGCACCCAAGGCTGCTGCCATAATACCGTCAGGATTTATCATGTTTATCATTGAGATTTCAGTTGCCGTATTGGCTTTGAAGATATTTTCTGAAAGAAATATTTGGAAATTTGGATTTCCGTTTCTTTTTCATGGCATATGTCCCATTACAGTGTCCTAGGAGTGAACTCCGCCACTATCGCTTTCCAGTTTGTTTACCAGTACCTAAGATGTTCCATCAGTTGTGTTTATTAGTAATTATAAGTCAACTAGTTTTCCATCGAATAGTGGGTTCATTACCCCTGCGACCAAATGTCCCTTGGGAATGATCGTGAAACTGGAAGTCTCAGAATAAAATGAACTCTATATGCTTAAAATGACAGTGGCTTCGTAGTGCACTAGAGAAGGCCCATCATCTACCTTTAATTCTGCGTGCTACTTGAGCTACTAGACTGACGAAAATAAGGCCATTAACTGGTTATCAAATCTGGACTTGACTCTTATTTTGAGAGACAACCTGTCGCTGCGCATAATTATCGGCATTTTTCAGGTTATTGAACTAATGCGACTTACGATGTAGTGCAATGCTATAAGGCTTTAAATAGAGACGATTGTTTACAGGCATTGGAAACCGGTAATGTGTCAGTATGACACATTCTGCTATTTTATTTCCCGAATTAGGAAGGTACTGGTCACTGGGTGATGGAACAACTGAAGGGGATGTTGGAGTAGAGGCTGCAGAGCGTACGCATGGTAAATGGTGCGCATTAAGCGATGATAGACCATTTCAATTCGTACTTCACTTACTACATCTCTGCAATTTGCATCGTTGAAGGGGAATTGCTTGACTGTTAGTCGGTCGGCTGATATGTTGATGAAGCATAATATTGCTATTGTATTACGATGCAGTACTGTCTATCCTTACAATTCTAGTGCTATTTTTCCTCCTCTTTCAACACATGTTTGATTTGCGCGAGGATGCATGAAGAAGAAATTGCATATCACGAGATATGCACCTGTTAAAGGTCAAATACCACTTGCAACTGTAGTCTACTTACTCGATGCGATTTGACTCAAATGCATACGCGCATTTATTCCTGCAATTAGTTGATTTATTGTCAGATCTTAGAAATGTCATTAGACTGTCCATTTTGGCCTTGCACGCATTGCATGGAAAGGAAAACAAAATCAACTTCTGGAAAGATTGGTAGTAAGTGAAGTCCAAAAGAATTGAAAAGGAGAGAGGGGGCGAGTGAAAGGCAATTTATTGAATAAATGAAATCCATTAAATTTTATTACCTTTTTTAACCTTTCCGTTATAAGAGCCGAATGCACAATCATCTTGCAAGAATTATGTTTCTCAATCATACAGTCAAAATTACTCGCCTCGTTTGAATCCCTGTTGCACTCAAGTCGTTAAAAGTTAATAAGATCTGGATACGGCCTAGATACAACTATAACATCACGAAAACCCCATAAATCGTGTTCTCTAGATGTCAATTCTTTCATTATGGTGT